TGCATAATCAAAATAGTGATTAATAATAGTATTAACCATTTTTTGCAAACAAGATTTCCAAATGTGTATTTTTTTTTTATGTAAGATAATGGATTGTGTCTTGCGTCGCGAATTTCGTCTTGCGTCACGAATTGCGTCTTGCATCAACGTGTCAAATTTATGATTGGTGACGCAATGTTCAATTTTCTAGATTTTTAATTGCATCTGACGCAATTTAATAATTTTGACCACATGTATAATATAATGATTATAAATTATATCATTATTATGAATAATTTTAATCATGTGAGCAATTTTACTCATGATGCTATATATTTATGAGATTATAAATCCTATTTATATAAATAAGTAAAAAAAATTTTCAAAATTCTTTTTTCTAAAAAAAAAAAAAAACTTGATAAAAAAAAATTTTATCACAAAAAAAAAAATTAAAATAAACTTCAAGTTCTTTCATTCTTCCATATTATTCCTAATTTTTTCTCCTCTCCTTCTTTTCTCTCCTCCTCCTCCTTTATTTGCTTCAAAATATAATGGGAAAGAGTATCTAAACAACGACAACAAAAAAAAAAGAATGAGAAGAATCTCGCTTTTTTATGAAAGCTGCTGATTCAATGAATAATAAAAATAATAATATTCCAACATCTCCTCCAACATCTCCAGCATGTTTGGCAACACCAAATACTTTTTCTATTACTCTTTCTCCAGACCTTTGTCAAATTTTCTAATAATAATAATAACAATAACATCAATTAATTATAACAACCATAATAGTAATAATGTAAATTCAAATTATTTGTCACCCATCATCCAACATTATGAATCAGTTTTTAAAAACAATTATAATAATTATCCACCACCGCTGCCACCACTGTTGTTATCATCATCCTTATTTTTACCATCATTTTCTTCTTCCATTGATCAACCTCCTCTTATCCCTCAACATTTTATTAATCATCATCCTGCTTCTTATTCACTACATCCATCACATCTATATACTCAACATCGCCTCACAATTTAATCTTGTTAAAATTTTCATTTTTAAAAAATATTTTATAATTTAATATTGATAAAGATGATGGTCAAATTTCTGTATACAATAATGGTAAAGGCATTCCAATTGAAATCCATGAGGAATTAAATGTTTATGTGCCAGAGATATTGTTTGGTCAACTTATGGCATCATCAAATTATAATGACGATGAAGGGAAATTTACTGGTGGAAGAAATGGCCTTGGTGCAAAATCTGCAAATATATTTAGCACTAAATTTACTGTTGAAACTATTGACATGGCAAGGAAAAAAAAATATGTTCAATCTTTTTATAAAAATATGACAAAAACTGACAAACCAAAAATTACTGCTTACAACAAAAAAGAAGAATACACCAAGATATCATTTAATCCAGATTTTGAAAAATTAGGAATGTCAAAATTGACTAATGACACAATTGCTTTATTAAATAAATGTGTATATGATATAGCAGGAACAGTAAAAAATGTCAAAGTTTTTCTTAACAACAAACATATTCAAGTTAAGAGTTTTGAGGAATATGTTCAAATGTATCTAAAGACTAGTGCCGTAATTCAAAAAAGGAAAAAGTATGGTTGCAAAAGTGGTCGCAAAGGTAATTGTGACCACTTT